GACTGAAGATCATACGGAGCTTAAAATGACAAGCAAGAGATTACTCGCGACGAAATAGTCGTCCATTAAAAAAAAAAGGGGTGGATGTAAAATTACCAAATTTCGACAACGTACAAATATTTTAATAAAAATAGCTTGAATTTTTTCTTGGTTCAACGTAAAATGAAATCAGTCGCAATTCAATCGATATCAGAAACTCTCCTGTGGTCACTGTGAACGACGCCTCGATAACGTCTTCATGGAATCCGAATAAATTTTCAAGCCACCAAATACTTTCTCGATTAAAGTTCCGAGCGCCAAGCACAACCGTGCAACTCGTGAGTCAAAGAAACGGAAAAGAAAAACGAACTGATTGTCCGAGCGACGATAACGACGCGTCATACGGATTCTTGAGTGGGAGCCTTGGCAGAACGTAAAGGCGCTGCAGAATTATTACGTCAGCGCTATGGTAGCAGGTGCTTTCCAGAAAGTGTCGCGAAACTGGGTAGACAGTTGCAAAGTATATATAGGACTCGAAGAAGGAACGAAGGGTTGGTCTATGACGCGGCGGGTCAACGGAAACGTGAAGCTTTGGTAAACTTGTTATTTATTCGGACTTCGAGGCAAAAGCGCGGGACAGGAGTTTCAGCGTCGTTATTCGTTTCTCCCTTATACTCAGGGCCGAGTTAAAAGATTCAATGCTGCCCTGATTAAAACCATGAATCAAGCTCCGAAACTTTGTGGTATTCTCCGTGAACGCGAAGCAGGAGCACGAAGAAGGTAGAGAGAGAGAGAGAGAGAGAGAGAGAGAGAGAGAGAGAGAGAGAGAGAGAGAGCAAAGGAGAGAAAAAAGTCCCAACAAACTTTTCGGGGTCAGTCAATCGTTTCATCCTCTGGCGTGTGGAGGCATAACGCGGTCATTAACGTTGGGATGCCCGTAGAGGTAGGGAGGTACGGGGGAAAAGGGAAGAACTTTTAACCCTCTTTCTGAATGGCTTAATGTTGGCTATCTTTGTATTAAAAGAAAGCCTAAACATTTTAGGGGTGAAATAAGTCCACGAAACACAAAAGCTTTCTTGTATTATTCATTAAAGTCGTGTTCAATGAACCGATGAACATGATAGGATTTTCCATTTCGTTACCGTTCACCCCTTATACCGGCCGAATACTCGGATAGCCAGTGTTCCAAGAGGGTGGCGGTGCTACCACCCCCAGAAGGTAGTCTGTAGCATTGGCACTCGTCAATAAGGTAAATTCTCCACGTTCGAAATTGCATTCGGGGGCAAATATGCATCTACAGGGTGTGACGTTTCTATGTATATATGTATATGGGTATTACGATTGGTACTCTACAAAGAGAAATATTATTCTTTCTTCCTCCAAGCAAAGGAAGGTTCTTTCGAACGGATCACATTTTCTTACGCTGATATTCTGACGTGACAATATCGAACGTATTGGATGCTCTTGTCAGTCGAACAGAAAGAAAAGACAATGCGCAGCGGGGTGCGTTGTCCTGTCGTATAAGAATCAGATAAGAATTACATATAAGGGAAACTACTTGGGGATGAATATTAGTAGAAGCATCGTCTACGTAATATTTATTTTTATAAGAGGCATCCGATGCCTTTTACTATTGTACATATAATGATATGCCAGGAGACATAAATTTCAGTTTGCCTGAAGTTTAGAAAAAAAAAGAAAAAAAAAAACTGGAGCTAACGATGGTGGTTGGTAAAAATATTTTGTTATCCCCTCGAAGTATTTTCGGAGTTACCAAGAACATTGTGTGGTATAAATTTAACACGGTCTCCTTTATTCGGGGATGGAAACGCACCCTTGTGAATTCCCGTGAAGATCTTGGCCGTGGCCTTATTTCTTTCAGTAATCCAACCCCAATGTCAATAGAGACATTGTTCATACATGGAATTTGTATTAGCCCTGTGATTAACGACTAAACCTACCCCCCTTGACATTCTTCAGTCTAACGGGTCTCAATTGCTATTGCGATGTCGATTCAGTGATTTTAATTTCCGATGTGTAATTGCGATCGTTATCAAGGCTATTTCGAAAATTGACCTGACGAACAAATATATCTTTTATATCGATGACCTTTCTATGGAGCCAATTAATTGTACGCGTAACATGACATGCTTAAGAAAATACATGAAAATCGTGTTGATTGGGGTGAATTTTCATTGTGCGAAAAGATGTCTTGGTTCTATAGGAGAGGGACTTATCTCACGAGCAAATAGGGGGCTGGAAGAGTCAAGAAAGTGACCCTTGTCAATGACAGCGCCTATTGACAATGGCAGAGATGTTTAAGTAAGGCGAAGAATAGAAAGGTCATAGGTCGGAGTAATGAGAAGAGAAAACTAGCGGACTACTTGCAAACACTGGGGAGACCCCAGTCTCGAAAGACCGATGGAAATAACTAATAGTTCCTAGTGCTACAAACACTTTTTCATTGTTTCACGTAAACCGACAAACGTGCTGGAATTCCCATCGAATTCTCAGTGAAATTCGATAGACGAAGCTATTGGAGCTTTCGACGAAAATACTAAATCAAATTAGGCTCGTAATTTCCCCTTAATGTAGGGACTCAGCTGGTTTAGCAAGTGGTCGGAAATGACTAAAGAAATTGAAAGTCCCGCAAAACTATTCGGCGACTCTTTCAGGAGAAAATACGAAAACGTAAAAGCAATGGCATCTTCTGGG